GTCTCCGTTCACCCCAATGGTGCGAAGACTCCGCAAGAAGAAGCCCGACTCACCGGTCATCCCTCAAGAGTCCCCTCCAATCGTTCAAGAGGCCCCTATTCTCACTCAAGATTCCCCCCCCACCGTTCAAGAGGCCACTGTCATCGTTGAAGAGGTCCCTCCCACCATTCCAGAGCCCGATTCACATGGGGTAATATATCGAAGTATTGAGAAACCCCCACCGGTTTCGGACATGATGGATGAGAGTTGGCTCTCGTATGAGTTACCGGCTAGTACCCTTCCGGTATCTGAAGTGGAGAGGAGACAACTACCGGAAACAATTGTGGATAATACCCTTTGGGCTAAGACCGCAGTTGATTTTTATCTACATGAGCGGAGCCAAGGGTGTTACACTGACATCAGCAAACTCAACGATGAAATGTTTTTGTTGCTTGATTGGTCTTGGTGGGGTGTGCTATTAGGGGTTGAAGACAGTGGCTATTTGGATGGGGAGGTAAGACTATATTTGTCTTATATATTATTTTGATTAATTTGTTTAAAAATTAATGTAATTCACTAATATATGTATTTTTTTGTAAAACAGCATATCGATGCGTGGGTGTCACGTCTACTAATAATAAGGAAGCTTAGGAAAAATAAAAAAAATTCGCTATATACAATAATGCCGACGGCTTTTCACGCAGTTCACTTGAAGAATCAACGAGATGAATCATTTTTGTTGGGCAATGGACAAGCTAAACTTTATCCTGCATGGTGGGAGGTCGATAAGGTTAGTGTTTATTTTTTAAATTTTTTAAAGGTGTTAATAAATAAGTGCGCAAATAAATGAATTATTACTTATGATCGCAGGTGTTTATCCCTGTTTTGGAATGTCGTCACTGGCTTCTCGTCCAACTTCAGCTCCCATCCCTGAAGATAATAGTGTATGACAACATGATCAATTACATATCACTGTCTGATTTGAGAGATATTTGCAAGGGATGGAGCTCTCATTTGGCTAAATTCTTGGATGGGATTAAGTATTGGAGTCATTCTGGACACAAGAAGCCAAAGAAGTTCAATGTCACAGTTGTCAGAGACGAGACCGCGCCACAGCAATCGCCGGGAGCCAGAGGGGATTGTGGTCCTCTCGTATGCCTTTGCTTGGCGCGTTTGACGACGGGAAGCACAGAGTTTTTACCTCCCACCGATAGAGATAAAGCTGCAGTAGGCTTGTGGTTTCGGCATTATATGGCTAGAGCAATATATTCGAGACGCTGCCTACCTGCATCCGCGTTATGAAAGTGTCCATTGTTAATTGGTAAGTCAAATGCAAGTTTTGTTAACATATATACTCCTTTTGGTTTGAAAATGTTTGGTTAAGTACCTAGAATTCAATAATTTGCTGTTTGTAGGTTTTAGATGTGTAGGAAGTCTTGTTTGAGCAAATGTTTGGTTTCTGCAGGTTAATCCTTAAGTGAGCTGCGTGAAATGGATGTACGGGGTCACAAAGTTGTTGATTCATTGATTCAATAATTGATGAAGAAATAAGAATAATTATTATTTTTTGATTGTTTAATTGATTTGTAAAAGATGATTTGTAAATCTTGATTTGTTTAATTGATGTGTACATAATTTGTGTTGAAATGTAATAGTTGATTTGTTAATTTTCAATTTGCTTTATGTTGAAGGCAAAACAGACTATCTATCGCAACGCGAAATGGAAATCGCAATGCGAAATGAAAATCGCAATGCGAAATGAAAATCGCAATGCGAAATGAAAATCGCAATGCGAAATGAAAATCGCAATGCGAAATGGTTATCGCAACGAGAAAATCGCAATGCGAAATGAAAATCGCAATGAGAAAATCGCAATGCGATTTTCATTTCGCATTGCGATTTTCTCGTTGCGATAACCATTTTCGCGTTGCGATAGCCATTTTCGCGTTGCGATAGTCAAATGAATGTCTAATAAGTGATGACAACTGAACATATCATAGCAATGTTCAAACTCAAGTTACTAATACATGCCTAACTGAAAATGTTAAAAGTGCACACATAAAATACACATAATGCAAGTTTTGTTAACATATATACTCCTTTTGGTTTGAAAATGTTTGGTTAAGTACCTAGAATTCAATAATAATTGTTAAAAGTTTATGCATGTTAATCCTCGTTGCCTTTTTCATTTCGCATTGCGATTTGCATTTCGCATTGCGATGGTCAAATGATTGCCTTTCGCAACGCGATTCTGACTCGCAATGCGAGTTTCAAAGTTCGCAACAGGTTTTAGTTTCGCAAGCCAAATTTTGAGTGTATATATATACGCAGCAGCAACAACTCATAACCTAAATCCCTAAATCGCAACTCATTCCATCTCCATCTATCACTCTCTCCGGCGACATTCGTTCAAATATCCAACGACATCCTTCCCCATCCGGCAACAGGTCTTAGTTTCGCATCTCGTTTGTTTAGTTACAACCATGAAATCATCTAATGTTGATCATGTTTGGATAGATTTGTGTTTTGGAGGGTCATGGGAGAATGTTAATGGTGTTTTACAATATATGCCTTTACCCATGAATCTTCAACTAAAACTGTCATTAAAGAAGTTAACTTATGAAACCCTAATGTTATGTGTTTCAAAGAAATTGAATTTAGAGCCCCTAAGTGGATTTAGGCTATCTTATCAGAGAAATGGTAAAGTTTATTTGTTAACCGACAATGAAGATGTTGAACGATTCATTGCTTATATTAATGTTTCAAGTGATGATGTTACATTGTATGTTGTTGAACCTAGAAGTAGTATTGTTGGGTCAGTAGCGGGTAGTAATCAACTAAGTGGGTCAAAAAACCCACAACCTTTCTCTAATCCAAATCCAAATCAACTTTCAGCACCAAATTCCGGTTTTCGTATTGACCAATTAGACGATGATGAGCCAAGAGAAAAAATTGTGAGTACTAGTCAGTATTCGAAATTTGATCTTGGTCAATACCCGGACTTTGATATTGGTCAATACACGGATTTTGATGATGTTTCAGAAGAAGAAACAGACCCTGCGTGTAATGATTTTGATATTGGTCAATACCCGAATTTTGATGATGAAACACTCGTTGCCGAGGAAGATGTTGTTGATGATAATGAGGAGGAAGTTACGACTGTGAATGAACATGTTGAACATCCATTCTGTAATTCATATAATCCTGAAGAAGAAAAGGAAGAAGAAAAAGTCCCCGAAGAAAAGAAAATGCCACGGGAGTATAACTGGAATATGCCAGAATTACTTCAGTTACCGGAAGAAGAGTTGGCAAAGAAAGCAGTTGATTGTTACACAAAAGTTATTCGTATCAAGAAAGATGATTGTTTTGATACAAAGGAAGACTTGAAGATAGCTTTGTATACGAAATGTGTGGAAGATGGCTATCAACTAAAAGTTAACAAATCAATCAAAGATCGTTTCGAAACAAGGTGTACGATTGACAAAAACTGTACGTGGCGTATGATTGCAAAGAGGATAAAAGATTGCGCAATGTTTCAAGTTAGGACTTTTATTGATAAACATACATGTTCAAGAACCCAAGTTTTTCCTCACCATAGACAGGCAAACAAAAAGGTGTTGGGTGGTTTTCTGGCTGAGTTAATGTTTTTGAATGGCAGGGTATATCGGGGACATGAAATTATGACTGACATGAATGCTCGGTTCAAGATTAGTATATCATATTCTCAAGCTTGGAGAGCCAAATGTTATGCCTTGGAATTGTTGAGGGGGTCGCCAGAAGCATCGTTTTCCCAACTGCCGGCTTATTGTCACAATTTAAAGCTGAAAAATCCTGGGTCGGTAACTCATATCAAAACAGATAGAGATGGACGCTTTGAGTTGCTGTTTATCGCCATTGGTGCTGCGGTTAGTAAATCAATATAATTCTGTTGACTCATTTCTGTTAGTTACATGCATTTCACATTTAAATGATTATATTTCTTGTGTATATTATTTTGTAGATTCGTTCGTTTATTACTTGCATGCGCCCAGTTATTATAGTTGACGGAGCACATTTGAAAGGTTGATACCTTGGAGTAAACTTATTAGCAGTAGCCATGGATGCTAACAATGGGATATTGCCAATAGCTTACGGGGTTGGCAAATCTGAAACCTCTGATTCATGGACATGGTTTATGGGGCATCTTAGGGATTGCATAGGTCCTATTAGCAATCTGAAAATCATATCCGATAGGGAAAACTCATTTGACAACGCTGTTAGAAGGTGTTTCCCAGATGCTTTTCATGGACTTTGTGGTGTTCATTTGTATAGAAATCTAAAATCAAGGTCCGCTGGTATAAAAAAGCACAAATGGACATACTGGAAGGCTGTAAAGGCTTATCGGGAAGTGGATTTCAATAAGCATATAAACTGTTTAAGACGTGTTTTGTCTCAGTGTGCTCAAACACTAGAAGATGTCGGGTTTGAAAGATGGTCAAGAGTACATCAACTTGGAGCAAGATATGGTTTCATGACGTCTAATAGTGCAGAATCAATTAACGCTCTAAGTCGTCATTCCCGGAAATTACCCATTACTATGTTAATGGAGTTTTTTCGAGCCTCTATTCAACAGTGGTACTACAAGAAAAGAAACCATGCAGGTATTATTTCTTTGAATTCGTAACTTATCATATATTTTACTAAGTATTATTTATTTAAATTTACAGGAACATTGGAACATCGTGTTACACCATGGACTGAAAAAAAGATAACGAAACGTGTTGTGAAGTCAACGTCATGGAGAGTTGAACCATGTTCAAACACTTTGTTTGAAGTACTGGATAATAACTTAAATGGGCTTGTCGATCTAAATGCAAGGACGTGTAGTTGTATGAAATGGAAAACATCTGGTTATCCATGTGGCCATGTTATAAAAGTTGCTCTTCATCTAAACCAAGATGATTCAAGCACATACGCTATGGATTGCTACACTACAGAAGTATATCGACAGACTTATGCCGAGATTGTCTACCCTATTTCACATCCTTCTGAGTGGGACATACCAGATGACTTACAAACAGTTTTGCCACCAGTGCCATCACAATCATCTTTTCCTCTACCAAAATATGGATCATCATCAAAATCCAAAGCTCATATGGTGTCAAGAAAAAGGCAATCAAAATCACAATCATCTTTAAAATCCCAATCACAACTGGCTTCACCTTTTGGGACTGTTAACTTAGGTGATTTTTAAATGCAAACGTTGTATTATGTAGATTTTATGTGTGAACTTTTAACATTTTCAGTTAGGCATGTATTAGTAACTTGAGTTTGAAAATTGCTATGATCTGTTCCTTGTTATCACTTAATAGGCAATCATCTTAATGTCCATCGCAACGCGGAAATTACTATCGCAATGCGAAGTGAAAATCGCAACGAGAGAATCGCAATGCGAAATGAAAATCGCAACGCTAATTTCGCAATGCGAAATGAAAATCGCAACGAGGGAATCGCAATGCGAAATGAAAATCGCAACGCGAATTTAATTTCGCGTTGCGATTTTCATTTTCGCGTTGCGATTCCCTCGTTGCGATTTTCATTTCGCATTGCGATAGTACTTTTTGCCTTCAAACATAATGCAGATTGAAATCAACAAAATCAACCATTACATTTCAATCAATTAAACAAGCACAAATAAGAATTATGTTAACATCAATTAAACAAATCAACTTTTACAAATCACCTTTTACAAATCAATTAAACAATAAAAAAATAAGCAATCATTTAATGAAAATAACACGTATACTATTGAATCAACTTTTGCAACCATACATCATTTTCACGCAGCTCACTTCTGAGATTAACCTGCATAAACCAAACATTTGCTCAAACAACACTTTCTACACATATAAAACCTACAAACAGCAAATTATTGAATTATAGGTACTTAACCAAACATTTTCAAACCACAAGCCTATAAACATACCAATTGTTTATGGACATTTTTATAACGCGGATGCAGGTAGGCAGCGTCTCGTATATATCGATCTAGCCATATAATGTCGAAACCACAAGCCTACTGCAGCTCTATCTATATCGGTGGGAGGTAGATACTTTATACTTCCTGTGATCAAATGGTCCAACGCCAAGCATACGAGAGGACCACAATCCCCTCTGGGTCCTTTCGTTTGTTGTGGTGTGGTCTCGTCTCTGCTAACTGTAATATTGAGCTTCTTTGGCTTCTTGTTTCCAGAACGAGTCCAATAATTTATCACATCCAAGTATTTAGCCAAATAAGAGCTCCATCCCTTAATAATATCTCTTAAATCAGCCAATGATATGTAATTTATCATGCTGTCATATACTATTGCCTTAAGGGATGGGATCTGAAGCTCGACGAGAAGCCAATGGTTACGTTCCAAAACAGGGATAAACACCTGCAATCATAAGTAATAATTCATTCATTTGCGCACTTATTTATGAATACCTTTAAACTCAATCTAAAATAAACACTAACCTTATCGACCTCCCACCATGCAGGATAAAGTTTAGCTTGTCCATTGCCCAACACAAATGATTCATCTCGTTGATTCTTCAAGTGAACTGCGTTAAAAGCCGTCGGCATTATTGTATACCGTGTATTTCTTTTATTTTCCTTAAGTTTCCTAATTATTAGTAGACGTGACACCCACGCATCGATATGCTGTTTTACAAAAAAAATACATATATTAGTGAATTACATTAATTTTTAAACAAATTAATCAAATGAAAATATAAGAAAAATATAAGACTTACCCCTCCATCGAAATAGCCATTGTCTTCGACCCCTAATAATACGCCCCACCAAGACCGATCAAGCAACAAATAGATATCATCATTGAGCTTGCATATGTCAGTGAAACACCCCTGGCTTCGCTCATGTAGATAAAAATCAACTGCGGTCTTAGCCCAAAGGGTGTTATCCAGAATTGTGTCCGGTAGTTGTTTCCTCTCCTCTTCAGATACCGGTATGGTACTGGCCGGTAACTCATACGAGAGCCAACTTGAATCCATCATGTCCGGCACGTCAGAGGGTTTCTCAAGAATCCTATATATGACGCCATGTGAATCGGGCTCTTGAATGGTGGGAGGGACCTCTTCAACGATGACAGTGGCCTCTTGAACGGTGGGAGGGGACTCTCGAGGAATGATAGGGGCCTCTTCAACGATAGGAGTGGACTCTTGAGGGATGATAGGCGAGTCGGGCTTCTTCTTGCGGTGTCTTCGCACTATTGGGGTATACGGAGACTTAACAGCACGTGCACGCCGTCTGATGTGTGAACTCTGTCGTGCAAGAAAAACCCGACGTAAAGCATCCACCTTATCGGTCCGCTAAATAAAAATACAAATATCAGTAAATAAACAGACATGATATTTAAACAGTGAAAACAAAGATAAATATATTTCAAACTTTCAACCAAAAGACAAAACAAAGACAAATACTAACTTCACAGTGTTAAAGTAAAAAGTTTAGCAGTTTTGGCAGCAACCGAATAAATTTACTAAGCAATCTAAGTGAAATGGTTAATTTAAGTGAAATTACGAGTAAATTTATCATCAAGTTAAATATGGAAAATATTAAACTTACCTCGTTGCGTAGAGTATGAACCTCATTCTGCAACGATACTACCATCTCACGTAGAGCGGCAACCTCACCACGTAAAGTAGACACCTCCACACGCCATGCACCATCGTTATCGCGTAGAGTACCGATCTCCTCACGCAAGGCATTGACCTCATCACGTAACTCCCTTGACTCATCCCGTGGAGGTGGAGAACAGGGAGATATAAGTCGTGGCATCTTTGTCGGTCGCCTATCATGAGGTGATGGTGGAGAAGAGACTCGATGATGTGACGGGATAGGTGATGGCTCTCGTTGTAGAGGTGTATAGTCGGGTCGATCAGGTGATGGCTCTGGGTGAGGTGATGGCTCTCGAAGTGGAGGAAGTGGAGGCTGCTCATCATTCGTGCCATCAAAAAAACGCTGACTAGCTTGCCACCAATCAGTGGCAAGCTCAGCCTCCGTGGGTGTCAGTCTCATTAATGGAGTGTTGGCCTCCTAAAAATATAAAAAAACTAAACAAAGTTAAACGTCTACTATTAATAACTTGTTTATATATGATAGTATTTGTGTTAACTTACATTATTTATTGTCGCATATGGTATTAAGTCTTCCCAATCCAACATATGTTTCCTCTTCCAGGAAATAGCCCTAGGAATATCATCTGAGGATTTTAATGCATATGTCCGCATGCTGGGGAAAGCCTCGAATATCCAAATCTACAAACAATATAATAACAAACATTAGTAATTGTTAAATAATTAATTATAATTTTGAAAACATTATATAGAAATTCTTACCTTAAAGGCCCAAACAAAGCCTGACAAAGTGTATTTCGACCCATCGCCCCGCAAACTTTTGCGGTCATCAAAGGCAGACGACAACTTAGTCCAGGTAGCTTTCCATATATACGAACCCCACGGAAACAGATTCCATGCATTTAGGTCCTCTACCAATAATATTAGCTCCTGAGGAATAGGTTGTCTGGCCTCTCTGCCTAGAAAGCCGGCATACAAAAGTAGAAGGCATACTCGGACAACATCGACGTCATTCATCCGAGTAAAACCATCTTTCTTATTAAACAATTTCTTCATGTCGTCGACGTGTAAGTTCGGCTTCTCTATTGACTCATCAGGAAAAACCCTGGATAACCATGATGGGCGGGTGATATGACGAGTGTACCGGCCTACATCATCGTGTCCGAATCGTAGACCAGTGATTAAGCAGAACTCCTTCCGCCCAAAACAAGTATACGCCGGTGGAAAATGAAACCATATCTCTTCCTCACCACGTTGTATACTGTCGGGTAGATCGCTAGTCATGGTCTGAAGCCACAAATGGGTCAAACTAGCATCTCCACCCGGATGCTGTACTCTCAGCCATGGCCCGAAGCAGGTTTCTTCAAACAATTTTCTTTGTGCAGGTGAAAGCTTCGAAGCAATTGTAGTGGCTAGGCTAACTTTATTCCTTAATGTCAATGAAGCCGAAAAAAATTTCTACAAAAAAACAATAAACATACCAAGTTAGATATACCAAAAATTACACTGTCAAGATATACCAAAAACAAAACAATAAACATAAATAGTAGTTTATTCTTGAAACTAAAATTTGCAACACTGTTTTTATCTTTTGGTTGAAATGAAAATCGCAACGAGATAATGAGAATCGCAACGCGAAATGACTATCGCGACCAGACAATCGCAACGCGAAATGAAAATCGCAACCGCGAAATAAAAATCCCAACGCGAAATGAAAATCGCAACGCGAAATGAAAATCGCAATGCGATTTTGGTTTCGCGTTGCGATTTTTATTTCGCGTTGCGATTATCTCGTTGCGATAGTTATTTCCGCGTTGCGATTTTCATTCTCGAAACTATTCTTCTTCTGCATTACTTCAACCAAAAGACAAAGCAAAGACAAATACTAACTTCACAGGCTAAACAGTTTAGCAGTATTGGCAGCAATCGAATGAATTTAATAAGAAATCTAAGTGAAATGGTTAATCTATTATTGAAATTACCAGTAAAATTATCATCAATCTCAATATGAAAAACCTAAAATAATGCAAAAATTTCAAAATAAAAATAAAAAAAACTAACCCTCGTAGGTTGATTTTCTATTTCTGAATGATTGTGAGGGATTTTTGACTGTGAATGGTTGTGAGGGATTTCGCCGGCGATGGGGACGGAAATCTTCGGAGATGGGTACAGATTTCGCCGTAGAGAGTGAGAGATGGAGATGGGACTGAGTGTTGTGTTTTTGGGTTTGAGGTTATGAGTTGCGATTACTGTGGACGGTTCATTTTCCGATTTATTAAGAAAAAATACGTGTTTGGAATTTGAAAAAAAAAATACGTGTTAATACGAATGGCGCTATGTAAATCGCGTTGCGAAAGTCAGTATCGCGTTGTGAAAGTAAGTATCTCGTTGCGATTTTGTATTATCGCATTGCGATAGTAAGTATCGCATTGCGATTTTCCCAATTCGCGTTGCGATTTACTTATTCGCATTGCGATTTTCCCAATTCGCGTTGCTTAAGCCAGTGTGTCGATCCTTGATAACTAGAGATGACATGATTGTAGATAAGACTCCACTGCTGGATTACTCCTCGAATCAATGGATCATCATTTTAGTCCCAAATAATGCACGATCTTCGAGCAAACCTCCTTCTTGTATTTTGAGCTTTTTTGAACCCTCGGTGCATGCCTGTAAACACGACTACTTGATTGAAAATTTTCACCTCTTCTTGTGAAATTTTCTCTCGAATATCCCCTTACGGATCAACACTTTTTCATTATGTCATGATGATGCATTGCAATTCAATGCAAAGAATGATGAAAAATAACAAACAAATGAGAAAAAATGAGTTAGTATAGACAAACAAAAGAAAAGAAATTAGTCAGTACAAGCAAGATAATCAATAAAGTTAAAAGATGTTATCTACAGATAAATATAGCACCTACCCAATCAAGATATCTACCCGAACATGCTTTAATTAAATAACATTCCTACCCAGACATGCTATCTACCCAAAATGATATTTTCGAGAAATTAATCCTAACCGTATGGTATCTAGTTCACATGCAATTATTTAACAAAATTTAAAACAAAAATGAATGGTTCAGAAACACTCCTCCTTTGTGTACACTTAATTTGGGTACCTACTGATGGACAGAGGATCGATATAACTATACCTAGGGTGATCGTTCTACGGTTCACTATATGCATGGTTTCGGCTCTAACAGGAAAAGGGAACTCGAATTGTCCTTGATGTCGGTGCCCCTTGGGCTGCCAAACCCTCGATCCTCACCCATTACAGGTTTCGAACGGAACGAGTTCAATTCGAGGGGATTCATTACCTTATACCCATACGAGGAATAAATCCTTACGAAGGTATAAGGTATGTATCCCATGGGTTATTTGCTAAAAACTCATACGAAGAATAAATTCTTACGAGAGTAAAGCAATCACCCTGACTTATTTGGATCGAAGCTCGTGTCTAGAGCTTATGTTATGCAGATGCACGTGATGTGTGTGAGGAGGAACATACCTACCTTTGTCAAAAGGAAAACAAAACAAGGAAAAAATGATAAAATCTTGACAAAGATGAAAGCCAAAAATAAAATGTTAGTATGACAGTTAAAACATGAAGCAATTAAAACTTCAATAAACGGATCATAAGTTAACTAAAGACTCGAACTCATAATTTCCACCAAAACGATAATGTGTAAGCGACCTACAGCTTGACTCTCTAAAAAAAGTCCCCAGCAGAGTCGCAAAGCTGTCATAACCATTTTTTAGGTAAAACAATTAAAATATTATTTTAAAAAACGATTATGACTTTAATTTAGAAAATTGGGCGATTTTGGATTAATTTGAATTAAATTGAATAGAGTTGCCATCGACCTTTGGATTAGGTAGGTCGAATACCTAAAAACGTCTTTTAAAACAATTTTAAGTAAAAATCATTTTTAAGACAAAAATGGCATGCATTTACCAGAAATCATATTAAAACGGGTTCAGGAGTCGGTTACGCGTGGGGAAGGATTAGCACCCCACAGCACCCAAAAACTGGTGTTGGAACGCTTACACGTTGTCGTAAATGGCGGAACTTATAAATCGAATATAAAATTTAAATGTGATCCATTTATTGAACATTGATTAATTTGCTTCGAATTAAATAAATAGAGAAAATTCTTTAACTCGAAAAGAAATCTCAAAATTAGCAATCCTCCGTCGGAAAAGCTAACTCGAATATTTCTCATTCGTAAAAGAATATTCTATCTTCAAATATATAAAACCATATATCGAATATAAATAGTATATCGACATTTTTCATTAAAAAATAAAAGAAAGTGCTATTTAGATAAACATGTATTGCATTGTTCAAATAAAAATAAAAATGGATTAACAATTAACAAACTAAAATTGATTTATTTCAAATTCCATTTAGTTTGAACGTCGTATTAGATTGTACCACTTCGATCAAGTGATACTTTCCATGCTCGTTCTACAGATCGGTGTTCTTGAAATATATTCAAGTAATATTTAAAAAAACATACAATAAAACAAATGCAAATGGACATAGGTGAAATGGAATATTTACAATAAATAGAGCCAACAAAAATTATTTACAAATACAAATAAATACAATATGTAAAAACCTATTCATACACGAAAGACTAAAATGAAAACAAACAAACATTACAAACCAAATATAAATAATAAAAAACATACATGATGATTTTAAGGACCAAATAATATTAATCAACACTAAGAGGACCAAACAATGTAATTAACAACCATTAGGGGACCAAAATAGATAAAACAGAAACTTATAGGGCTAAAATAGTAAAACAGAAAGTTAAAGGACTGAAATAGCATAAACATGAATTTACAGGAGTAAAATAATAAAAACAATCATTCGAAGGTCTAAACAATAATTACAAATAAAACAAAGCCCATATTACAAATATTAAATAACCTAGGTACTATAAACAAAAATAACCCATAAATAATATAGAGGACTAAAATAAAATAATCAGAAATATAAAAGGTAAATACTAATTAAACCAACTATAAGACATTGACCAAATATAAGATTTACAAATATAATGACCAAATTCAAATATCAACAAAAATATACAACATGCAAAGTCAGTGACTAAAATGAAAAAAAGCATAAATCACAGGAATAAATTAAAAAGTAAAACAAATATCATGATACACAATCTTATAACTTAAACATAGATATGGAAAATTAAAGGCTCGAAACAAAATAAAGTAATATTTCATTCAAAGACCAATGTACAAGAGTACAAAGATATAGGGACCTAAACAGGTATTTACCCCAAATATGAAAACACGCTGGGTGAGTTTACAAAGCCACATGGATTAAAAGTGTAGTTAAACCCTTTTTCGGACGCGCAGACTCCCTTGGTCAAACGACATCGTTTTGCTTGTAGGTTATAAGACCTAATAAGGGTTTTAAAACCCTATTTCTCATTTATTTTCTTCTCTCAGCCGCTCGTCCCTTATTCTCCCTCTCTCCCTTCTTTTTTTCTTTCACACCGAGGAGCACAGAGCCCTAATGGCTCCCTGGCCACCGATCCAGTGGCCACAGGGAGTAGTCAAACCCCAAAGACCCCAGTTTATAACCCTTACGAGGATCCAAAAAAGGTAAAATCTCACCCTCCCCTCTTTGTTTTTTTATTTTATGTTCTCACTCCTTTTTCTTTTTGAGACCCCGAATGAATCCCTTCCCTCTCTATTTTTTTTTTCTGATTTATATTTTCTCCACTCTTTTTTTCTGTTTTTTTTTTGTATTTCACCCCCACCGAATGGTCTCCTCTTTGTTGCATGTGCTCTTAATCTTGTTTGTTGGGTGAGATGATGATGATATCTAGAATAGGGTAATAATTCTGATTTTTTTGGAGAAATCCGAAAATTTTGGGATTTAGGGTATTTTAAATTCGGGGTTTTGATTTGTTTACTATTTCTTTTGATTTGGTTTGATTTGGAACTGATGGGGTTATTGTAGATGACGGTGGGGGGGCCGGACGTGGCTCACACGTGTCGAAGGAAGATGGAAAACCAGAGGCGGTGGCTGGAACTGATGACATTTAGGGTTTCAAACCCTAATTAATTTAGGCCAAATCCAAGCCTAGTTCGGGTAGCGGGTCACGGGTCTGACGAGTGGCTGGGCTTGGGCTTGATCTTGATGTACTGGGCCTTAGGGTTATAGTGGGCTTCGGAATTGGCCTGTAAAAAAATGTATATTAAATAATAATAATAATAATAATAATAATAATAATAATAATAATAATAATAATAATAATAATAATATTAAATCGAAAAGACCGAACAAAAACGGGTGTCTACAAATAGTTGTTTTCATCATCGTCTACCTGCCTTCTATTTTTCCTTTCCCCACTGTGATTGACACCACCTAGTTTTGTATTTAATGAAATGACGAAATTACCCTTTTATTTTTAGTATGAACCAAATACATAAGTGATTAAACAGACAATTGTTAACTTATTATTTTTACAAGGTATGTAAAAGTGTTTATATCAATTATGAACAATTGAGTATACTATATTATATTATAATTACTTAAAATTAATAAATAATAAAAAATATTTGTGTAAAATTTAGTTTTTAAGTAAAAAAGTACTTCTAATATCAAAAGTAATGAATTATATGTAAATTTTAGAGTTTTTTTTAAAAGTATTTAGGATTATAGTATTTAAAGTTACTTTTTTATTGTTTTAATTAAATTTGGAGTTCATCATTTTGATAATTTAATATTAATAGATTTTAGTAATGAGATTCTGAAATCTTATATTATTTTAGATCTAATTTTTTTGGTAAAAGGATGCCTAAGACCTGTGTACTTTAAAAAAAAAAATCAATGTGACCCTCTATTTTTCTTTTCTTTGTGCACTCAATGTGACCCTAGAACATAGAAAAAGAACCTAATGTGGCTCTTTGATCAACAATGTGGCCCTTTGATCAACAATTTATGTCGTTGACTGTTATGATATTGACGTGGCACTTCACGGTGATGACTGACAGTCCACGATGGTTGGTGACATGGTAGATGACATTATAGACGAGCTAATTTGTTTTATGTTCGAAGACCAAATTGATTTTTTAAAAAGTTTAAGGGCTTATTTAATTTTTTAAAAAATAAAATGTTATAAATTTAAATTATAAAAAATATTGAAAAATTAAATATAAAATATCATTAATTATTAGTATTATTTATTAAATAAAATAGGTTATATTTAATTTTAAAATATTATTTTTTATTTAATTTACTATTTAATTTTCCATTGAAATTATAACAAAAAATCCAGTCAAAATGGTTGTTCGTGTATCAATGATAATATAGATAATGAGAATTCACAACTACTCAAAAAGAGCATAATATATACTTCCATAATTTTTTGTACAATTAATATTGTAATAATCCTTGTTAAATATCAATATCAATATAAATATACTTGTTATAGATGTACAACTATGAACCAGTTTAATCTTTATCATATTGGTCTAAAACTTTATCGCTTATCAATGTATAGTTTAAGTGAATAGAATATAAATATGATCATCTAATTATCATAATATTAATCTATGTACAATTATGAAAATCTATAAAATTACTTTAACTTTATACTAATTTAAGTGAATTACACCTCATATATGATTGGAGTAATTAATGAAAGTATAACATTTTAGATATTCTCTTTAGTTTGATGAAGTGAATGAAATAAATAAACAGGATTGAAAAGGGTAAAATATGATTATTGGGACACCAGGTGTTCCTATGCCTTTGACAAAGCTGAAACAGTCGCATGGCAACCATAGGAGATCGTTGTCGGTATCGAGGGCCACAAAAATGACAAGTTAACTTCTGTAATTTCAATAAACAATAAAATAATAAATAATAATATTTTAAAACTAAATATAATCTATTTTTATTTAATAAATAATACTAATAGTTAATGGTATTTTTATATTTACTTTTTTAATATTTTTATATTTTAAATTTAAAGTATTTCTATTTTGTAAAAATAAAAGCCCTTGACCTTTTTGAAAATATCAATTTGGTCCTCGAATTTAAAAAATTTAGCTCATTTGTTACGTCATCAATCACATCACCAAACACCAAACACCTAGACTGCCACGTCAGCACTGTGGATAATCACTTTAGCATCGTAAAGTGTCATGTTATCATTGTAACGATCAATGACATAAATCGTTGGTCAAAGGGCCACATTGGGTTCTTTTTCTATGTTCGAGGGCCACATTGAGTGAAAACAATTGGAGGATCACGTTTTTTTAAATAGTATAAGGACCTAAGGTACCTTTTTGTCTAATTTTTTTAAGTGTTTAAATAATTTTTGAAGCATACAATCACTAAGTGATTTAAGATAAAACTTATCTATGTGTGTGTTGTCTTCGTTATATAGTTCATTTATATTTGTATAAATACATGTCTTTAACACTAATGTGGTTGGTTCAAGTTGTAAGCAGTTTGATATCGCTTAAGAAAGGTCTCAAGTTCTAGTCCTTGTGTATGCAGAAAATCCCCGCTAGGTGATTCACCCACCAAAGTTAGGTGTGCGACCCGATCAGTCTAGAATAATCAAGGCGAAGCCTTGGAGCTAGAGGAAAATAAAGAAAATTGCATGTTTTGCAATACCCCAAATTTTGGTTAGTGACCAAAATATAAGTTTTGAGAGTTAGTGGCCAAAGTATAAAATTGGGAAAAGTTTAGAGACCTAAGTGGTAATTTTCCCATTTTTTTATTCCATAAATAGGTAGTTTAATTTTGAGAGTGGAGTTTTATTGAAATCAGATAAATCGATAAATTTATCTATTTATGGTTGAAAACTATAAATGGTTAAAGTACAGTAAGAAATCGATAAATCGGATCGAATAGAAATTTTGGGAAAAATTGAAGGATGATAAATTAGGCTTAAAAATATTATTTCCAAATGTTAAAATGATGGAAAATAATATAGATAATTGGATTTGAAGATTTATTTACATGTTTAATCCCAGTGTGTCGATCCTTGATAACTAGAGATGACATGATTGTAGATAAGACTCCACTGCTGGATTACTCCTCGAATCAATGGATCATCATTTTAGTCCCAAATAATGCACGATCTTCGAGCAAACCTCCTTCTTGTATTTTGAGCTTTTTTGAACCCTCGGTGCATGCCTGTAAACACGACTACTTGATTGAAAATTTTCATCTCTTCTTGTGAAATTTTCTCTCGAATATCCCCTTACGGATCA